CGGGCGCTTTTCTCTTATAATGTTGGCCAACTTTTCGAGCTGTTTCACATAGCGGTCGGCGTCCGATTGTGTTCGAGCACCTCGCAAATTAGCATGTTTTCAGCATCCCAGAAAACGCTGAAAAGAATCTTGCGTCGATGGAGATCAGATTTTGACTGCACTAGTGGTGTTTCTTCTAAAGGAAGCAAGTAGGCATGACGTGCAGTGTTTTCGTAGTAGACTCATGATTCGTCACCAGTAACAATTAAGGCAAGAAAATCCTTCTGCGGAAGCACCCGAAGACTTTCTGCGATGCTGACTCGCACAGCACGGTCCTCATCGGTCAAGGCGTGAGATATCCATCTTGACAGTACTTTCCAATAACCCCTGGAGCGCAGGTGTCGAGCAATGGCGCATTGAGAAGCCTCGAATGTTCTTCTCCAAAATCCGTAAACTAGCTTCAGGGTGCTCCTTAGTCTCGTCGTAAAGCCTTCTCATTGGAGTCCTCAGGTCGCCCGGAGAGTTACGAAACTTCGAAGCCTCTCTCGCCGTTGTCAAAGCGATTATATCAGTTGCGAACTGTGCGCGTAGTAGTATCTGGCCCAAAGACGTCGTTTATCTTGACTGCCGTCACACTCGCTCCATTTTGGCTCAAACTAATTCCAGCGGACTTGTCACGTGCTTATATACCCATGGCAGGTAGCTTAGACCACCCTATAATCACTCCCATTTTAGATTCGATGAAGCCTGGATAAAAATAAACTGAAGAAAACTCAAATACGGCTAAAAAAATTATAAGACAGCTTAGTATATGAGTTTCAACTCAATCGGTTCAGAGGCACGCGTTTCTATAGACATACCCTACAAACGGACAATTTTTGAGTTTCATATTTATTTATTTATATATTCCAATGCACTCAAAGTGGGCCAAAAGTAACAGAAAAATCCAAAAATGCAGCATATAGTAGATTTTCAATCGACATACATATGGAGATTAGAAGCGTTGCTCCATGTTTCAAACTCTCTGTCTCTTCAATTTCTTCTCATATTCGGCTTGCACGCGATCATCAGTTAAAGTAGCGTTTATCTTTTATGTCGAAACGTTTAGCGGATCCATTTGAAGCGTGAGGAGGATTGGGGTAGGGGAGGGACAAGGTAGCTATAGGCAATTACCGAGCGATGAACCGGCCGTTTTTGAGGAGGCCCGGGGTAGAGGAAGTATAATATGTCACAGATAAGCTTAGCCGACAGCTACCACAGCTTAAGATATCTGAAGGTGCATAAGTTGTTATACATGTTCGCGACATAATGTCTTGTGGCGCGCGGGCCCCGGCACGAATCGGTTTTCAGTTTCTATGAAAACAAATCTCCTCTTAATTTTATTTTCACAGAGTTCCACTTGATACATAGCGACGCATACAGAAAATGGTATTTTTTGGCAGTAATGCAGGATGTAGAGATGGATTTTTAGCTTGCTACGATGTTGATCGAAAAAAGTATGACCTGTAAATAGATAAGACAGAATGCATGTGGGAATAGAAAACAGAAAGAAGAAAGAGAAAAATAGACAAAAGTTGATACCGCAAATGAAAATTTCAGATACACAATGTACTCTTTGATTCAACGATATTGGCAGCTGTAGGCGACCGTTCTGCCGCAACGTGGCCTGCGTCTATCTGCGATCGTGCTTTCTGATCATTCGCTAGCCCTCAAAATCCCGCCTTCCAGCCGTCAATCCACTTGAATCAGAGGGTACTTCGAAACAATCCTTCTATGACGATAATAATCGAGCACGTTCTTATTCACCTTCTTCAACAAGCTCGAACATATTCTTTCTTACAGGGAAAGTTCCCAAGTCAGCTCAGCCAACCCGGATGAGTCATGTATCGCCGTAACGGGCTTGAAACGCTGATTCCAAATCTGCTTTCATTTTCTGCGGAGCGACTTTCCGAGGAGAGTTATGAGCGTTAAAAGTCTAAATTTGTCATGTTCAAAGTGGCTCAAAATCAGTTGAAAGCTGTAAAACAACATCTAACGGAATTTCATTATCTGTGTTCCGTCCTTGTAATCAATATACTTGATACAGAACTGATAAATCACTTTTATGTGTTATTGTACAGCTTTCGCCAATTTTAAGCTACTTAAAACATGACAAATTTAGACTTTTAAACGCTCATAACTTCTCTCGGAAAGCCGCTCCGCAGAAGAGGAAAGCAGATTTGGAATCAGCGTTTCAAGCCCGTTAGGGTGATATATGACTCATCCGGGTTGGCCAAGCTGACTTGGGAACTCTTCCTCTTTAGCGGTAAATTATCCAAACGGTTAAAGCACGAGTATGAACTTGTTAAGTGTACGCAGAGCGTTCTTGAGTATCTCTAGTCTCAGAATGGATGATACCCCTTATGCCACTTGCCAGTGATGGATGGCAAAGCCTTCCTTTATTATCTTTCAACAAGGACGTGTCGACAAAAACACGAGATGCATTGAAGTGTAAGTTGCAATTTTGTCGACGCTGTCGTAAATTCTGGTTTTATTATTGCAATGATGGTGCGACGTAATGGTCATGATTCATTCTTGAAAAATATGAGTTTGTGAGTGGATAGTAACTAGTTCTAATGCTTTGCAGTACTTTTGTTGTAGGCCATGCTAAGTTCGAATGCCCCTAAGACTTTATCACTTCCTATGTAAGATGACTCATTTGATTTCTATTTTATGCTTTCTCCAGCAAACGACTTTATTGCCCGGCTAAAAAAGTTAAGGTGTACGTACCAATGCGCACTGCGTCAATTTTGCAACATTGTGCTTCACTCTTCGAGCAGTTCTCGAAGTTACAGAAAATCCCTCACAATATCTTCTTTTATATGACTACCAAAGTTGTGCCTTCTACATTGGAAAACCTTCCACGGTTTTGTTGGGGCATGTTTTGCCCTTGTGCTTCAGGTCGATTATGTAAACTTCATTGAGTATAATTTCTCACCTTTTTCAATCTACTGTGATATATCTTGAGAGTTAGCATTTTGTTTTATGCCAAGTCAAGTGCAAGTTGCTATAGTACGCGTAACATTGAAAGAATTCAAAGCATGCAAGTTGATTGACATCTCAGGCGCACGACGTTGATCCACTTGATCAACTTGATCCACTTCATCCGCTTCGCTACTGGTCAAATCAGGAAAGTAAACTAGCGAATTGGATCAAGCACACTAAGTATGGCGCGTGCCTTACAAGGGAATTATTTTTATTCGAAGCTGGCCATGTACACGAAATCTATGCCGTTGTGAAGTGCTTTGCGCTATAATCTCGAATTACTTTCGCTATCTGCCGATCGCCTCTGGACGCCGAGTTATGAGTGGGTTTTTTTAAACAAAAGTGCATGCGTATCGGATAATCTCAATTAATATGGTCGCATCAGTGCTCAGATAGAGCAGTGTCAAGCATGAGTATTATCCATCATTCAAGCGTATCCGTTATCTATAGTAACCTCAGAGGCAGCGTCCGGGCAGATTTAGACAATTTGGGATATTCACAGCTGAGTACTACGGCCTCGATCTAGAACTATCGCGCAAATGCGACTTTCGAACACCCCCCTGCAAAAGAGAAAGGGAGCAGAAAAGGCCAAGCCTCGAGGACCACACCCACTTCCTCGCAACGCCCGCCCCTTGCACGAAATCTCCCCAACCCTTGGCGTGTTTTCACGTGACAAGCGCAATCGAACAGATAGTGCCTACCACTTAATGCTTGCTTTCGACAAGGATAGCACGAGCATAGAAGCACTATCTCTATAGCGCAAAAAGTGCGCCTACGACTAGTCAAAAAGTGTAGGCCATATAAAGCGGTGGTTCAGTGCCGATTATCCTGCTTCTGCCGTCCAAACTATCGTATTCAAGCACCAGCGATGTATAGTTGCTTTATCAGCGAAATCACAAGAAGAATGATCATCACCCAAAAAAGGCAATGATCAAAGCATACGTAAACAAACATTGAAACTACATGAACTTCTACACTACACAATGTCTACTGGTTTCTCTTGATCGCGATCCGCGATTCCATAGTTATCAACAAATTTTCAAAACGCAGCATAGAAATACAGGGTGTCCCAAAAAAATGGTGCCCACTATTTGACTGTTAATAACTCTGTTCTGATGAAGTCTTTCGAGAGGCTTTGGGTACCATTTTGTAGAGCTGGCTTTAACTTAGATTTATGGTGTGGAGCGAGTCGCCCATCGCTCTCCAATACTGTAGGACTACGGTAGAAAATTCAAGAATATGGCGTCACTGTGAAAACACTGCCGTCTCAAAAATTTTCAAAAAAATTGTGAGAACTTGTGTAAGAGGGTTTTCATGGACCCTGAGTTCAATACTAGTTGTACAAGATTGCAAAGCTTTCTAAACGGTGTAACCGTAATTCTGGGAACATTGGAAAAACGCCCGCTACTGCTTACCTTGCATAACTTTTTAATGAAGCATTGTGCTAAGTTGCGAATTTCACACTTAGAATCAGCAACCTCAGTTAGCTCATCGTGAAAGTTTTCAGGTTGTTTTGTTTGCTTTCTAGGCAAAATATGGCCTTTCATTGCTCAAAAACCTCTTTAAAGTTCCTACCGTAATCCTAAGTAATGAAGAGCATCGGTGATTTGCTACATACTGTAAATCTAGGTTGAAGCCAGCTCTACAAAATGGTACCCAAAGCTTCTCGAAAGACTTCATCATAAGTGAGTTATTAACAATCAAACAGTAGGCATATTTTTTTGGGACACCCTGTATAAAATCATCACCAGGAACAAATAAGAAATCCTTTTACTGCCTATAAAGACTTTTTTGGTCTCACTGGTTTCCGCCGAGACCAAGAAATAGATAAAGTCCTCACCTTTTGCTCCATAATCGGAGTACAATCATTCATAAGCATTTTTCTCTGCATCAAACTCATAGCACCTTCGCCGATTATCTCATTTACCTCTGGCGGTCACCCACGCTAAATACCTCTACGTTTCGTCCCAGTACAAAACGCATTTTTCAACTCAGCAGTTTCAGATTCAGTTTTCGACAGAGAACATTGACTCACAGAGCAGCTGAATATGCCGAATGCCGAATATACTGCCGTCGAAGTGGATCCTACCACTCCTCCACCATACATGGATCCAGCGAATAGTAATTTGAAGAAGCAAAGCATGATGATGCATAGTAAGTTTGTTCTTTTTTTGGAAACTCTTGTGATACTCGCTTTGAACGTGTTAAGTCTTCACTGCGACTAGACAAAAACATTTGAATAAACTGTTTCGATCGTAAATTGAAATAATCTAAGATCCTATAAGATATCGATTCACTTCTTCAATAACGTTTTTGTGAGCGTAGCTGCTGCGTTATGCCCTTTTATACGAGTCCAAAATTAAAAGCTAAAACTGCGGACCTTTCGTAAAAAATTCCCGGAGGGAGAGACATAGCTAATGTTGCATTCCTTCCTCCACCTTTTCGACAGAACTTCCTCGCGCAGGAAAACCTTGAGAAACCGTCAGCTAGCTTGAAGACTTATGGGATTTCGTATGCGTGTAGACATAAGAGAATGACGACAAATGAAAATTCATCTCTGTCAGAATTTTTTGATTTTTCAGAGAAATCTTTGGAACACACTGGAAAACGATGTGAGCACTGTGGTCAATATGCACAGCAACCAAGTGAGCAGTCTACCAGTTTTTACTAAATTTAATTTCGTATACACGCATTTTAGTGGTAATCTGGCCAGCTCCAAGACCACGCGATCACATTCGCCCTGACAATACGAAATTCATTGGCTATGTTTTGCTAATCGCCGTTGTTATTTTCTTACTTTTTGCCGCCTGCAAATATCTTCCATAAATAATTCCTGTGGCATACTCTTCCGCTCATTTTGCTACAAATGGTGATTTTCTTCAAAGTATAATCCAAAATCTTTATCTAGTTCAGGGTAGTTTTCTCGTAATCGTTACAAGATCTTGTGTAGTGGACATTTTTTGCGTTAGAAAGTATTTTGATGAACAAACTATTTCACTTTTATCTCTGATATTGCGTTCCACTGTAAATACATACCTCGTATTTTTATTGAATTTGCATTTCATTCATTCAGTTCTGAATAAATTCATGCTTGTAACCTGTAGTACGAGCAGAGATTGGATAACTCCACGACGATTCAGACGGTACTTTTTTTTCGATAGAGAGCAAATGATTGAAGGTATGCGAACGGCAAGTTAATGCGGCAAGAAATGGAAACCAATGATCGCAGCTAGACAAGACTAATCAGAATTTTTCTTCGCTACCCAGAACTCATATCCGTGATGCTGTTGCGGCCCGAGTGTAGTGCCCGCTAAAAACATCATGCACCAACGTGCAAGTTTGCAGTCCGAGGTTGGAGGCGGAGCCTTAGCTTTGCAGCGGAGAGATCCGGCCGCAGGGCAGTAACTCCCCGCCTCGAGGGATAGTACACCATCCTACGCCGTCGAGAGCGCTTGGCGTTTAGCAGAGTTATCGGGTACTTATGATCATCTCAACTATATCTCATGTGCTTGTTTCAACCATACCTTATGTATTTGTGCCTCATTGATTCCATGCCTATATACCTCATATATTCGGTGTAGTAATTATTGTATTGTAGGTGTGTGTTGCTTTTAGTGCTTCTTAAAGATAAAGGTGTGGCCAATATAGTTCTAGAAATTGTTGGGAGAGGAGAAAAATCAGCACAAAATGGAAGCTTGAAAGTGAAAAGGTGGTGTAGAAATTCTTAAATGCATGACGTCCGCTTGTTGAAATAAAGCTTGTGTATGCGGAACCGCGGGCGTTATACGAGGGGGTGGGCGCGTTCCTCCGAGAATCGAAGTTTGAAGGTTACTTATGTATTTTAGAATTGTGCAAGTGACTTGTTTATACTTGTATTGAGTTATTTCATGACTCTTTACCGAATTTGCCAAATCATCACGTTAATATAGGCCGTCCGCGCTGCGCAAGGAGAGCAACGCTGTTGCGTACATTGAAGGCAGTTCACGACTGGAGAAGCGCAGAGAAAAACAGGCGGAGAAGTGCACGAGGAAAGACCAGTGACGCGCAATACATACCTTGCGCACTCTCCGCGCCCTGCGCGGACGGCCTATATCTGTAGGCTCTTTTCGGTGCGGTTGTGTTATCATCAGTGCAAAGCAAACTATGCAACCGCTACAAGTGAATGCCTGCATCGTAAATCACTTAGAGTATGAAGCTGAAATCCAGTATTAGTTAAAAACGAAATTGGCCCGTAGTAAACCCCCATCAGGGCATCTCTCTTGAGGCGGACCGGAGTTGATCTCATCGCCTCAGCACATTGCCAGGGGAGCGATTGATTTGGATCAGATCACTGAATAGACATTCGCGTCTTCAAAGTTGGAACGTTCCTGCCATCTGTGCATTACTAGTCGAATGGATAAGACTAATGCATTTCAAGCGGCAATGCCGTGGTTCGAGTGCGGCTAACGCCATCGTTTTTGCTGCTTGGCCTGGTGATCTTTGACGGCGGCCGCTGTCGAAAAAATCGATGATAGCCGCTATCAGAGATTTCACCTGGCAAATAACAAGATAAAACAATTACACACTATTTTGGCAATCTCATCAATCAATCGAGGAAAAAATACATTTGGCGAAAAATGAATAGAAAGGTAAATTTATCTTCTTGTTATCTGATGCGAATCTTTGAGAAAAACGAGCAACAACTGCAAGAAGAATGCAAAAAAAACTTTTTTCCATTTCGTCGCGCAATCAGCTGTTCATCGATCCTCACTCACTTGGGTGCCCGAAATTGTGCAGTTTTGGGAGTTCTGCACCGCAAAAGAACGTCAGCTGCGATGTTTCGTAAGTTACTCGGGAGCAACTTACGGAGGTTTTCTCTGCACTCTCCTCTTTAGCACAGTATGTACCTTATGTCGTCGCCCGGCTCATCTCCGCTCGGTCGGGAGCTGATCTCCCTGCCGGGCTTCATCTGAAGTTCACCTGTAGGGTGACCCGCATACTTACACCGCGGAAAAATGGGCAGTCCTCATCTCACCCGACAAAGCCTCATATGAGGGCCTCAGGGGAGATCATCTCCAGTGACCGAGCTTTACTACGGGCCATTGAGTGCCAAAAAATTGTATCCGTCCCGAAACATCCCAAAAATTCCCACTTACCTCAAGCTCGAGCAAACTTCTTCCCCCCCCCCCCCCCTTAGCGGTCTGTCCTCTCACACGCATACTTACACAGCACATACATTCAAGGTGGTTCAGTGGCCGTGCCCACTAAGTTCAGGGAGGCCCGCGATAACAATGCTTCGATCTACAATTTGCCTCGATCGCAGTCTCGCTAAACTCTCCAAGCCTCACGAGAATCTCATTTGTCATTCTAAAAGTTTTTTGAAATAACTGAGCAATTGATTCGGTATGGGAATCTGAGGTGCTCTGAGGCGAAAGCGAGGTGAGAATTTGCGACCACTAGAATTGCGAAATTGCGATGCATCAGAATCCATGACGTGTTGTGGCTGAGGAATAGGTTCAGCCGGTTTTTGAGTGCTGCGTGACCTTGTAGACTTGGGAGGCATTTAGATTTAGGAGGCATATCGATAGAAATAGTGCGACAAGGCGAGATGTACGAGAAAGCAAAGTTATCGATCGATATGCAAATTAGGCGGGAGTCGAAACTCGGATCTCAGAACCCAGAACCAAAAATCCAATTAACACCTGGACGAATAAGCACTCGAGCGAGTAGTTCAACAGATAAGAAGAAAAATAAAGGTGGAAGCAGCGAAAGATCAAAATTTGAATGGTGTTGGGAAAAACTGAGAGCTAACCTGAAAACAACCGCTCGCGGTCGGCGCAGGATAGAGAATGCGAAATAGAATTTGTACTGTGGCGAACCTCTGCCACACTAGAAGATGCAGAGTTCGGGGAATGATCTCAGGGGTGAGTTTAGCATGGAATTTATGAGGGTCCGGTAGATTTTCGATATGAAGAAAAGCCTTTGCAGTGGGTCCATGCACGTATGACGAAACCAGAATGGAGGGGCGAGCGCTGCACACGGGGAATTGAACCTGTCCTACCCTTCCAAGTTTATTCACTGCTCGGCCTGTTAAGCTTTCGAACGGGGAGAAGAACGACTGTTATGCCATGTTAGTAAAAGTAGGAGTGCCATCGAGGAGTCACTGAGCCTCCGCTCTTTCCCGAGCCCGACTGCTTAAAAACTCCCCCTGTCGTAAGGGGGTTTATATCCGACGAAGCATGACGGCCCGGGAGAGAAAGGGAGCGTAAGTTGCGGGATCAGGCTAAACAGCTGAATCAGAATCGGAGTTTTGATGAGAGATTTGTTGTCTACAAGGGTGAAGCGGTGCTTCTCAGTTCATTAACTAGCAACAATCTTGCTTCCTCTCAATCTGCAGTTGGCTCACACCGCGTTTTCTCTGCAAGGCAGGAAAACTGAATTGTGGGCAGGTAGATTCTTCGCGATGTATTCTTTTCAATGCTAGGTCTTCAGTAAACAAGTTGCAACTGTTACACCATTTTTTGACTACTAAACTCCTCGATATTATTTTCATCACGGAAACATGGTCGTCTTCGAAAACAAGTGATGCTGAAATAGTCTCTGATCTGCCTGACATGGTTTGGTCTGACAGAGTACGTAAGGCTGGGTTCAACCTGATTCCCATGTTCTGAAACTGTTCCCGCACAAAGTAATTAGAAATCAAATCATGAAAGACACCTGGCTTCGTCTAACCACTCAAGAAATCTCTTTCATCCACCATATACAGCGTACACAATATCATGGCGCCTTGAAGGATATGTTGGGCAATACCTGTCTAACAAATCACTCCAAGGCTTCGGCATTAGCTCAGTTTTTTTGCGAACACGTTTTCCACAAGTAATCCTGGCACTAAAACATTAGATGCACCTCTGAACCATATGTGCTCAACACCTATGATCATGCCTTCTACTGTCGAAAACTTCTTTAAAACCCTAAAACAATCTTCATTTGACGGCATACCTCAGATTGTCTTCAAACGTTGTGCAAGAGAGCTTTCGGTCCCCTTCACATATCTTCAATATCAGTTTCATTTGTGGAAAAATACATGACATATGGAAAGAAGCAATTGTCACTGCAGTTCCAAAAGTTCCCAAACCTCGATCTGTTACAAAATTCAGACTTATAAGTATAAATCCGGTACCGTGTAATTTTCGAAAAAAATAATTCGTGACAAGCTTCTTTCTTGGCTGGACAGGTTTAATCTCATTCCCGCTGAACAACACGGGTTCGTCAGCGGTGCATCCACCATTACCTACTCAGACAATCGCCGGGGGCAGGCGGGCACCGGAAAAATAGATTGCTGATCTCTCGCACCCCGCTCGCGGATTTTTTGAAAAGCAATCAGGACTTTTCGGAAGACCGCTTGCTGAGTTCTCGATTCCTCAGAGATTCAGCAATATATCTGCAAAAGATAAGAGCGAAAAAAAATTCAACAGGCGGTCTCTCAAAAATCCGCTGACTCAGCAAGCGGTCTTCCCAAAAGTCCTGATTGCTTTACAAAAAATCCGCGAGCGGGGTGCGTGAAATCAGCAATCTATTTTTCCGGTGCCCGCCTGCCCCCAGCGATTGTCTGAGTAGTGTCTGTCTACTAGATTGTAATCATGACTGGATTAAGGCATACCTTGATAAGAAAGAAGTAGACTTTATATGTTTCGATTTGTTGAAAGCTTTTGACCGCATAAGTCATGGTAAATCTTATATATAAAGCTGAATGTCTGTTTGTCTGCTCAGATAATCGCCGGGGGCAGGCGGTCCGCAAACTCGCGTTTTCTTGCAAGCGGGCAGCAGAATTTTGGGGCGTGGCCAAGCCTTCAGCGGGCGGCACTTCCTTTACGGTCGCATATTCTGCCAGCGGGCAACACTACAGCATTTTCTGCAGGCGTTCGGCAAATAACTTCTTTCAGCAAGCGCTGGCTAAACTTTCAGCAAGCGCTAGGACTCTTTTAACGCAGCTTCGGGCATACGCCGAGTAAAGATGAGACTCTACGTGGCAGAGGTGTCATCGATGGTTCAATTACTCA